TTTGGTCTGACTCCAAGCTTCTATTAGTAATGGGCCTAACTCACACCCAAAAGTTAGTTCAAGAGTTGAGGATTGCCACACACTTATATATTGTCCTCAAATTTTTTTATTTGTCGATGTGGGACACTAACACCCCCCCCCCTCACGCTCAGGATTAGACATTTAAAGCGTGAAGTTTTGTGGGAATGGACAACCCACAATCGAATAATTAGAAGCTTGGGCTCTGATACCATATTAGTAATGGGCCTAACTCACATCCAAAAGCTAGCTCAAGAGTGGAGGATTACCACACACTTATATATTGTCCACAAATCTCTTTATTTGTCGATGTGGGACACTAACAGCTTCCTCCTTAGTTCTCCAATGGATCAACATTCAAGTCAATCACATCAACCGTTTGCTCCATCTTTCCCTGTGAAACTGCGGCTTCTTCTTCACTCACTAGTAAGGCACTTGCGTATAAGTTACTCCATCTGAGTGGAAAACTCTTATGCTTCATCTTAATGTTCAGAATCTTTCTCCCTTGAGGATCGTTGATGAAGCATCTATTGTCTTCAAATAAGACTTTGTATCCTTTTGATATCATTTGAGATACACTCAATAGATTTCTTGCTAAACCCGACACTAGAAACATCTCTTTGATGATCTTCTCTCCTTGGCTTGTCATCACTTGGAAGTTTCCTTTTCCTACCGTCATTACACGTTGACCATTCCCAACTTTAATCGGAACCTTTATGCTTTGATCAAGAGTGATGAAGTATTTAACTTCCTTGGTCATATGGTTAGTGCACCCGCTGTCAACTAACCATGTTTCATCATTAACTTTTGATGATACTTCTTCTTCAACCGCACTAAACAGCATGTATCCTTGTCATCTGTTTCTTATAGACTTAGTCCGCTCTCTCGGCTTTTCTAAGCTTGCAGTTTTTTGCTAAATGTCCCGGTTTGTTACACACGAAACATTTTCTCTCATTGTTTGCCATTTTTTGCGAAAGAACACATTTGCTCTCCTTCTTCCAACAATTACTCTCATTGTGATTGTTACGTTTGCAAACGCCACACCATTTCTCGGCCTTCTTATCTTCACGTTTCTTTTCTCCATAGAACGCTCATTCAGTCGAACTCTCATATCGTGAATCAACACGACTTTCATGGGCTTGAAGAGTACCGATCAACTCTGACACGACCAAAGTTTTCAAATCCTTTGTTCGCTCCATCACGGCAACGATACTATCGAACTTTGCTGGAAGAGAGATGAGTATCTTTTGAACGATTTGATAATCTGTTTTCTCTTCTCCATGAACTCTCAATTGATTTCTCAAATCAATTAATTTTCCCGTGAAAACCTTGATGTTATCATCGTCATTCATCTTCAAATTTGCATAATCTCTTCTCAGAAACTAAAATTTGATAAACCGAACTTGAGGCGATCCTTGAAATTCGGTTTGCAGAGAATCCCAAGCCTCCTTTGATGTTTGTGCTGGTGCTATGCGAGAGAAGATCTGGTCCATCACGGCAGTTTGCAGAATTTTCTGTGCCGTCAAATCCTTTGTTGATTCTTCTTCCCATCTCCTTTTTAGTTGCAACACTTCGGGAGTCTCTTCACTTTGTATCGGTTGGTTCGAAACTCCGTTTTCCACCACAGTCCACAATTTTCTGATTTTGAAAATTGTTGTCATCTTGATACGCCAGCATATCTATCCCCATCGAAAATGGGAATCACCTGTTGTGATGTTGCTTCCATCGCCTCAGCCTCTCTCTTTTGCTAGAATTTTTTCCGGATTTTCGTTTATGCTGTTACTTGAATTGGCCCTTGAATCAATGAGGCTCTGATACCATGTTAGAAACTAAAAGTTTCTGATTCAGAACAGAGTATAAAAAGAACAGAGTATGTAAAGAGGCAGAGTCGAAGTTTGTATCACGATCACTTCTACTTTGATCGTGATCAATCCAGAAACTTGTGTAACAAGAAAACTTCTCTCTTATTAAAATAGTAGATACGCACACGAACAACAACTGTTTTCTGACATTACAAACAACACTTTAAATAGACTTCCAACAGACATGAAGGTTAAGAGTTGCATCTTTTCTTCCTTGTGACTCTTAAAAAAACACATAACCGTAAAATTTTATGTAACGACACAAAATGACACGACACAGACATTGGACTAAACTCAATTATAAACTAACATAGGAGATGATCAGGATTTGAAGAGACAGAGATGCAGCAAACATACTTGAAACTGTGGAGAAGAAGAAAATCAGCGGCTTCTTTATCACGAGAAACTACGGTTAGGGTTTTTGTGTGATCGTTTTTTTCTTACCGAGGAAGTTAGGTTTCTTTCTTCAAGCTATATAATGTGTTGTGAATTAAAACATCTATTTTATAGGCAGAGAAAGAAGACCGACTTCCTTTTGAGAATTTCTTTTGAACTAATCTCAAACTTAAGATTTATCTATACTATTAAAAGAGAAGCATGTTTTATGTCCAAACAGAATTCATTTAGTTTTCTATTATTGTGTTTTTTGATAACTGTTATTTCTGTTGCCAAACAAATATTTTAATTTGATTTATCTGTTTTATTTATTTCAAAAATTAATGAAATACTATATTTAAATTTATCTTTAAAAATAATTTTGAAAAAATCTAATTTTAATTTATTTAGTTTCGATTTTCTTAGATATAGTTAGATTAGTTATCAAAATTACAAAAATCAGTTGTTATTAATTTTGTAAAAATAGGAAATAGGATATTAATTTATATTATATTTAAATATTCAAATTTAAATAATATTTTCATAATGATAAAGATGATAAATGATATATTATTATATACTTTTTTTATAATCAATCAGTTTAAATATTTAAATATTTAAAATTAAAAAACAAATTATATTATATGATATTGACGAGGTAGAATTGTGTTTATATTCATAGTCTTTTTCAAATTAATCGAATAGACGGGTTAAAAGTATGTTTTTATGTTCTTGGTCATATTATTGAAAAAAAAATTATTTAAAAACAAAAAATAAATTTATATCATTTATTAGAAAATATTATATCTCTTAAAAACATAAATTTATTATAAATTTAAATTAAAAACATAAATTTTCCGTGCGGACGCACATGATAGAATTTAGTTAGGAATTAATTAGGAAGAATTGTTTTTATAATATCAATTCAATTAACATTTGTCCTCTTAATTTTTTTTTTGTCATTTTTAACATAGTTGCCCAGTTATGGCATTTATTATAAGAAATAAATTCGAAACATTTTTTAAAATTTCAAAAATACCTGAAGAGAAAATAAAATATTTTTGGGTATCATTTATGGAAAAAAAATATTTAAAAAATATTTTTAAAATTCGTTCTACGCATGATAGAATATGTGTTCTATATTCTACGTCCATGTACAATCTAATTTTTATAGTTTTTTATATATTCTACTAGCCTGTAGAATTCTTTTCTATATTTTGTTTTATAATCTAATGATTGGTAAAAATGTATTCTATATATTACTTATATTCTACATTACAGTACATTATAAGTTTTACTTGATAGACTATATTTTACATATTAGTAAATTACAACTTCTAGTTATTAGAACAGGTTCTACGTTGTTGTAGAACAGTTTTTCTACATATGGTCTTCATTTTACATTAGCGTAGAATACTGATATGGTATGAGTGCGGAAACAAGTTTTACCCTAATAAAATCAATTAAAGCCGCAAGTGCACAGCTAAAAAATTGTAGTACTTATAAACCGAATCACATGGAATGAAAAAAAAAAATTCTACATATGGTCTTCATTCTTGTGTTTCAGGTCTAATCTCAGTAAAAAAAAAATACTCAACAGACCGCATACACATGCCTATTTCGATGGGCAATCAAGCATTCTATGATGTTACTTCTCCTAGAGGAGTCAACCACCTAGGACAGCCTCATGTCCAAGCACAAGAGCAAGATAACCTCAATTTATCGTCTCTCTAACCACATGACATTCAGCTACCCACACCTGTGAAACTCTAGAAGCATCCCAGCCTCATCTCGCGTTTGCATACTTTGAATCTTCCAGAATCAGCCTACTATCCACCTACCTTCACCACGACATCAACATTACCAAATCAGCCGTGGAGTATCGAGTCTTTCGAATACATCTGCAATATGACTAATTTTGATGGAGTCCCTCATGAGTATTTGAGACGCATTCGTGTAGTAATTTGGGAAGATGTGCAAGTCATGTTACGCCTATCTCCTGCATCTTCTACTCATGGACAACACTTTTGAATTTGACAAAGACCAAGAATCATAGCTCTCCACTGTTACTAAGGAAATTGGTTGTCCAAACAACATTGTACATCATCTCGAAGCAGAAAAAACAAATAAAAACTGTCTATACAACCACCAATTTGTCCCGTCTTTGTTAATATATAAAGACATAAACCAGCAGATTAGAATTCAATCACAGCCAAAAGACACCGAAAGAAGTTCAGTAACCTTATACATGGAGATAGGCTTGAGGGTGGCTTGATTGAGGGTGTTTTCTGTACTATACATGTAGTTTTATGGCTTGATTGAGGGGGTTTTCTCTCCCTTAATTATATTTGTTTTCTTGTTTTTTTTTTAATTCTTTTTTGCCAAGAAAACAAATATATAGGTTAAGGATGATCTTAATCTCAACATAATGTAAAAGCATAAAGTTTCTTTTAAAAACTTCAACATTTGAAGCACTTTGATGTAACACAGCCTTGATTGAATACAATTTTACATTCAATTCAAAAAGAAAAAAGGATGATCTTAATCTCTTCATTTTTTAAAATAATATCTACATTCTTAGCAAAAAAAAAAAAAAAGGATGTTAGAAAGGCAACTCCACGTTGGTTAGATGTTCATGCTCTTCTATATAAAGTTATTCGTTTTAATATGATACCTATAAATTTTGGTGTGCTCATAAATTTGGTTGGGCGAACAATTTTAGTGCCCATAAATTTGGTGCTGAACATGCATTCCATATCATTGGTAGGGAACATGGAAGCCATAACAGTTTCTCGACCAAAACTTGGATCTCAACTCTCTCTTTGCTTCCGGACCATTTTATTTCCGGTAAGCAAACTCCCTAGCTTCCGGCAGAGATCATTTAAGATTGCCAAGTCTGTTAAATTGAAGGCCAGTACTACTATGAGGGACGATAATCTAGAAAGTAACCGTCCGTTTAACAAAATGCCACCTTCTGAATGGACTCATCAGTTCCACTCTTTTCCCCTTGAAGTCTCGGTGAGTCATATAACACATTGTGACACACACACACACACATATATATATATATATATATAAGTTGCTGTATATAGTGAGGTCGAGGAGATTAATTCATGTGCGAATATCTTTCTTAGGAAATGGAAGCGCTTGAGAGAGAGATCAATGCACTAAAGCCGAAAGTGAAGAATACGTTCATGTCTTCCCAAGGCAGCATTGACTCTATGAAAAAGAGAATCCTTTTTATCTATTTGCTGGTCAGCCTTGGTCTAGCGTATCATTTCAAGGATGATATCGACGAGACTCTAAAACAGAGTTTTGAAAACATAGATGATATGATGGTCGGTGAAGATGATTTGTACACAGTTTCCATCATCTTCTGGGTTTTCAGGACATACGGTCACAATCTGTCTTCTGGTAGGAAGATCTCTAGCTATGATTAGACGTTTGTACATTTTTAAATTCTTTGATGCATGCTTTGATAGTGGGTCTGCTTTGGTCAATAGATTTGTTTAAAAGGTTTAAAATGAGCAATGGAAAGTTCAAGGAATCTCTTATCGGGGATGCCAAGGGTCTCTCGAGCTTGTACGAAGCTGCACAGTTGAGGACAAAGACAGATTATGAAATGGAGAACGCGTTAATATTTGCATCGTGCCACTTGAAATCATTAGCCGCAGATAGAACATGCCCATCTCATATCTCAAAGCGTATACAAAATGCGCTAGGTCTATCGCAGCACTGGAACATGGAAATATTGGTCGCAATAGAATATATCTCATTCTACGAACAAGAAGAAGATCATGACCAACTGCTACTCAAATTTGCCAAGATTAATTTTAATTTATTACAGCTTTGTTACATACAAGAACTCAAAACGGTTACTAAGTAAGTAATCTCCTCAATTTCTTGCAATTTTCTGGCTTCACCTATGATTTACTTGGAAGAAGTTTCTCATAATTTATTACATGTTTGGGATGCAAGGTGGTATAAGGACCTAGACTTGGCATCGAATTTGCCACCATACTTTAAAGACAGGATCGTGGAAAATCATTTCCTTGTTATAGGGATGTACTTCGAGCCGCAGTTCTCACGGAAGAGGATTATGCTTACTAAGTTCTTCACGGTTTCATTAATTCTGGATGACACATGTGATAGATATGCGTCTCTCTCGGAAGCCGAATGCCTCGCCAATAGCCTGGAAAGGTATCCTATATGTATTAAATTTCCACGTATGATGAATATGGTATGATAATGACGACAATGATGATGATGATGTTTATAGGTGGGCTCCTAACGATGACATGGAAAGACAACCAGATTATTTGAGATTCGTGTTTAAATTTATATTGGATGTGTTCGACGAGTTTGAAAGGGAAATGAGTTAGAAGGAAGATCTTATAGTGTTAAAGCCACAAAAGACGAGGTAACCAATCAAAGCGTTTGTAAATTTTCAAAATCTATAATTATATATCTTATCATGGCTACATCAAAGTTCTGACTTACTTTTATAAGAATAAAAAACAAATACAAAAACTTGTAGTTGTAACTTGCTTAATTATGTCTTTAAAAACAGTTCAAGAGACTCGTAAGAGCCAACGTTGATCTCCTCAAATGGGCACGAGCTGGTCGCATCCCTAGTTTCGAAGAGTACATGAAGGTTGGTGAGGTTGAAATCGCAGTGTACTCGACTATGGCAGCCCTTTTGATGGGTATGGGTCATATCGCTAATGAAGAAGCTTATGAGTGGCTCAAATCTAGACCACAACTTGTCCAATCGTTATGCACAAAAACACGTCTATTGAATGACATGACCGGTTTCGAGGTATAAAGACATGAATCTTTTCAAATATATGTTTCTTAGGGTTTCATATCCAATGAGTAAAACCGAGAAAAAAAAACTTAAAACTGAATACAACATTGTTAAATTATAAGATTTCATTTAAGAATTAGTTGATAGTAAAATGAATGTTTTGTTTTGGATAAAGTAATCAAATGAATGATTCATGAACTTATAAACATGCTTACGTTAGAATCCGTTATCATTGTGGCATTTTTAATATTTGATCTTTGATTAGGATGACATTAGTCAAGGAAATGTTACTACTGGGGTCAACTGTTATATGAAGCAATATGGTGTTACCGAAAAGGAAACCATTAGAAAACTTCGTGAGATGGTTAGATACAACGATACTGTACTGAACGAGGAGTTTTTGAAGAATACCCATGTACTATGGGCGGTTTCAAAGATAGTCATCAACTTTACACGAGTGATAAGTGTTGGAGTAAGCTTGAAGAGCAAGCTTCTAGAATCTTCTTAAGTAATGTTTTCCTATAAGAGTTAGGATTAAGAAAAAGGAAATTAGGAGTAATCTAAATTCCATTAGGTTTAGGAGTTGTCTAAATCTTTCTCTATATAAAGAGTTACCAAAGTTGTGGTTTCACTTATCAGAGTTTGAGAGTTTTAGTTTTTGAGTCAGTTTTCTAAAGCAATAAGAGAGTTATTCTTAAACTTTGTGTTCTAAGTTCTTAATCGATTTATCAAACTAGATTTGGTATCAGAGCTAACAAATTGATTTCAAACACCACGAGATCACACCATGGGGGATATTATCGCAGCAACAGAAAAACCTAAGGAAGGAGGAGGACCTTCTTCTATTCAATGTCCAATGCTCACCTCAACCAACTACACAGTTTGGTCCATGCGAATGAGAGTTTGTCTCAAAGTTCACAAAGTTTGGGAAAGTATCGAACCAGGAACAGCAAACGATGAAAAGAGCACATTGGCGATGGCTTTATTGTTCCAATCGATACCGGAATCACTCGTGTTACAGGTCGGAGAGCTCGAAACCGCAAAGAAAGTATGGGAGGCCATAAAAACAAGGCATATGGGTGCCGATAGAGTCAGAGAAGCTCGGCTACAAACCTTGATGGCCAAATTCGATTGAATGAAGATTAAGGACTCTGAATCCATCGATGAATTTGCTGGGAAACTTTCAGAAATCTCAACAAAATCGGCGGCATTAGGAGTAGCTGTTGAAGAATCCAAACTTGTGAAGAAATTTCTCAAAAGCTTACCGCGACAAAAATACATTCATATAGTGGCTTCACTAGAGCAAGTTTTGGATCTCAATACTACTACTTTCGAAGACATCATTGGACGATTAGAAGCTTATGAAGAGAGAATCTTTGAAGAAACCGAAACACAGGAAGACTCCAGCAAACTAATGTATGCAAAAACAGAGGACCAAATAGGGCAACAAAATTGCGACTATAACAACAATTGGAGAGGTCGTGGTCGCGGAGGACAAAGAGGCAGAGGTCGTGGACGGTATAACATCAACGGACAGAGAGACGCATCATCGATAACATGCTATCGCTGTGATAAACTCGGTCATTATGCCTCAGACTGTCCTGATCGGCTCCTCAAGCTGCAGGAAGTACAAGAAACCAACAATTCAGAGACACAGAGCGCAGACGAGCTGTTTATGCACAAGCTGGTATTCTTAAACGAGAAACATTGCAGACCAAGTGATTACGAGACAAACTCTGGAGAAGAAAACTTGTGGTACCTTGATAAAGGGGCAAGCAATCACATGACGGGTGATCGGAGATACTTTTCAAAGATTGATGAGTCAATCACAGGGAAAGTAAGGTTTGGTGATGATTCTCACATCGATATAAAAGGAAAAGGAGCAATATCTTTCACTGACATGAATGGAGAACCGAGAATCATGACAGATGTCTACTTTATCCCGGATTTGAAGAGCAATATTATCAGTCTCGGTCAAGCTACGGAGTCTGGTTGCGACATAAGGATGAGAGGAGAATGTCTTACTATGCACGATCAAGACGGGAAATTACTTGTCAAAGCGACAATATCTAGAAATCGGCTGTAAGGTTCGCATGGGAATAAGAGAGAGCGAGAGCCTACATCTGTCCTCAATCAGTGAATCGAAGAGGTGGCACTCACGATTAGGACATATCAACTTCGACATGATCAAATCCATGGTGCAAAGAGAACTTGTTCAAGGAATCTCAGATGTGAACTTCCAAAAGGAGATATGCGGCTCGTGTTTATTAGGAAAACAAGCCAGGAAAGTATTTCCTCAAGCCACTTCCTACAGAGCGACTAAGACACTTGAACTTATATATGGAGATTTATGTGGTCCGATCTCGCCAAGTACACTTGCTGGGAACAAATATGTTTTTGTGATTATCGACGACTGTTCAAGATATATGTGGACGATTTTGCTAAAGGAAAAGAGTGAAGCCTTTTGCAAATTCAAGAAATTCAAAAGTCTTGTAGAAGGAGAAACAGGAAAGAGGATACAAACGTTCAGAACAGACAGAGGAGGAGAGTTTGTTGAGTTCAACTCTTTTTGCGACACAGAAGGAATCAAAAGACACCTCACAGCCCCATACACGCCTCAACAAAACGGAGTTGTTGAAAGGCGTAATAGAACTCTGATGGAGATGGCAAGAAGCATAATGAAGGACAAGCAAGTACCAAATTACTTATGGGGTGAGGCAATCAGACATTCGACGTATCTCTTGAACAGAGTAGCAACACGAGCACTCAAGGATCGGACACCATATGAGATTTTTTGGGCTAAGAAACCGAGTTTGGGGCATCTCAGAATCTTCGGATGTATCGCATATGCTAAAGTAGAGAAATCATTGTTGAAGAAGCTTGATGATAGATCTCGGATACTCGTTCACTTCGGAACAGAGCCTGGATCAAAGGCATACCGATTGCTTGATCCACAAGCTCGGAAGATAGTTGTGAGTCGAGATGTTGTATTCGATGAAACAAAAGGGTGGAATTGGAATTCAAAGAATTCAGAACAGCGACAAGATGACGGCTTCAAAGTTACGATTGGGAAATTTGGAAACCATGGTATCCAACAATATGAAGAAGACGAAGTAGAGCATGTAAACGAAACTGCAAGAGACATTAACGAAGCGGATGAGCAGGAATCATCGATACAGGCATATGAACAAGAGAACGATATGGGAGATGAAGACAACGAATCTGTTGCGATTCTAAGAAGATCAACAAGACCATCGGTGAAACCTAAGTATCTTGTCGAAAACTATGTCCTGCTAGCCGAAGAGGAAGGAGAAAAACTACTGTTATGTCTGAATAATGAACCTGCAAACTACAGAGAGGCAAAAGATTCAAAAGAGTGGAGACTCGCATGTGAAGATGAAATCCATAGCATTGAGAAAAATCAGACCTGGAATCTTGTTGATCTTCCGGCTGGAGCAAAACCAATCGGCTTAAAGTGGGTATTTAAGCTAAAAAAGAAACTCTGATGGAAGTATTAACAAGTACAAAGCACGTCTAGTCGCAAAAGGATATGTGCAGAGATATGGGATCGATTTCGATTAAGTTTTCGCACCAGTTGCACGTTTGGAAACTATAAGGCTTCTCATCAACCTTGCGGCTTCTCATAAGTGGGAGATACATCACTTAGATGTTAAAACGGTGTTTCTTCACGGTGAGCTGAAAGAGACAGTGTTTGTTACACAGCCAGAAGGTTTCGAAAAGAAAGGAAGCGAAGAAAAGGTTTATAAGCTAAACAAGGCATTATACGGATTAAGGCAAGCACCAAGAGCTTGGAACAACAAGCTACATCAAATTCTGCTGGAACTGCGTTTTACAAAGTTTCCGAAAGAACCTTCAATTTATCGAAAGGAGACAAAAGGAAACCTGTTGCTTGTGGCGGTATACGTAGATGACTTGTTTGTTACAGGCACTAATGGAGAGATCATCGATCAATTTGAGAAATAGATGTCCTCCAAGTTTGATATGAGTGATCTTGGGAAGCTGACATATTATATTGGGATTGAGGTCTGTCAACACGAAGATGGGATAACTCTGTGTCAGGCTCGCTATGCTTTAAAAATCCTTGAAGAAGCAGGGATGGAAAAATGTAATCTAACTCATACACCAATGGAGCTTGGGCTAAAACTATCAAAGGCTGAAGACGAGAAGGAGATTGATGCTACAGGATACCGGAAAAACGTTGGCTGCCTTCATTATTTACTTCATACAAGGCCGGATCTATCCTTCTGTGTAGGAGTCTTGAGCCGATATATGCAGAGCCCAAGAGAGTCTCATGGAGCTGCGATGAAGCATTTCTTGAGGTATTTGCGAGGAACAGCATCTTTGGGGTTAATATTTAGAAAATCAGCAACAAAGGTTCCTAAGCTACTCGGATACAGTGACAGTAGTCACAATGTTGATCCGGACGATGGTAAGAGCACCTCCGGACATATCTTTTATCTTGGTGAAAGTCCAATATCATGGTGTTCGCAAAAACAAGAAATAGTGGCACTTTCATCCTGTGAAGCTGAGTTTATGGCCGGAACAAAAGCTGCTCGACAGGCCATCTGGTTACAGGATTTGTTGTGTGAAGTTATTGGTTCTCAAAGTGAAAGAGTCATCATTCGCATTTACAATCAATCAGCCATAGCTCTCACCAAAAATCCTGTGTTTCATGGAAGAAGCAAGCACATACATAGGAGATATCACTTTATTAGAGAATGTGTGGAAAACGGTCAGATCGGAGTGGAGCATGTTCCAGGCGCAGAACAGAAGGCTGACATTTTGACAAAGGCACTTGGAAGGATCAAATTCAAAGAGATGAGAGATCTCATTGGAGTACAAGAAGTGTCCAAAGGTGATTTCAAGCTTAAGGGGGAGATTGTTGGAGTAAGCTTGAAGAGCAAGCTTCTAAAATCTTCTTAAGTAATGTTTTCCTATAAGAGTTAGGATTAAGAAAAAGGAAATTAGGAGTAATCTAAATTCCATTAGGTTTAGGAGTTGTCTAAATCTTTCTCTATATAAGGAGTTACCAAAGTTGTGGTTTCACTTATCAGAGTTTGAGAGCTTTAGTTTTTGAGTCAGTTTTCTAAAGCAATAAGAGAGTTATTCTTAAACTTTGTGTTCTAAGTTCTTAATCGATTTATCAAACTAGAATAAGTGTTACCTACAATGAAGGTGAAGGCTATATCAGTTCTTTGTTCGTCGATCAGATCTTTGTTCGTCGATCAGATCTTTGTTTGAAGAATTTGGAATGATGTATTGTACTACTATACTCGGATACTTATTGAGACGATTTGACGTTTGTTCTTGTTTTTTTTCTAAAAAATCCCTAATTGATAATTCCTCGGTCTATTTTTTTTTCATATGATGTTTTTTCTTATTAAAAACTTAATAAATTAGGGAAGGATTATTGTCATCTATTATCTTATCTTTTTTATACTGAGAAACCTTCTTATACTAATAAAACTTGAAGATATAGGCTTCTCA